TTTGTTTTAGGAGTCTCATGCCCTTGTCTTTGGATGTTCCTATTTTTGTCAAACACGTTGCTCATTATCATTTCTTTAACACTGTATTTGCAAATGATGTCCCCTCCTAGTGGGGCACACCATCAGCTGATTGGTTCAATGGCCAGCCAATCCCTAGCTGACACACAAATTCGTGAAGCGTTCCATATTTTTTTTTAAAAAAACTGATGGCCAGGGAAAATGATAGACTCCCAAAACTGTGCCTGTTAGAGCAGATAGAAAATCAACATCAGACCTCTTGGTTAGTTCTCCTGACAAAATACATTAGGAGCTGTGGACTTCCGACTCGGTATCCGAATCTCTTAGAAGAGTTAGACCCAAAAATAGTTGCTCAACGAGTATTGGATATAGAAGGCCAAAAAGACATCGCTACCCTCAGTAAAGCTGGCTCACTGAAATGGTTAGGCCGCTTTAAACATACCTTCCAAACAGCTCGATATCTAAAAACAGAAATGCCTAAACACCTTAGGAGGGTATTTACCAGAGCTCGTTTTGAACAGCTGGATACAATGGACAAGCACGGAAGGTTTAATCAAGTCCCATACAACGAACGATTTTGTATTTGTGGAGCACCAGAGGTGGAGGATATCACACATGTATTGTTCAACTGTGAGCTGTATAAGAAAGAGAGAGACCATTGCCTTGGACCATACATCATTCAAAAAACACATTGGGACCCATATATTAAAACCTCATTTTTGTTGGCTGGCCAGAACCCTAAAATAACACACAAAACAGCCCTTTTTCTATTCAAAGCAACACAGCTGAGAATTGCACATTTAGAATCAATTGGGGTAAACTGTGGAGGTGACGCAGACATTTGACCTGAACGAGATCTTGTTAACAGCTTGTTTATTTTAACTTCTTTTATACCGAGGGTTGTATGTTGTATGTATGACTATGTGTTAATTGTGTTATGTGTTAAATGTTTTGATACGGCCAATAGGCCAATCAATAAAACGTATCTATCCCTAGCTGTCATTTCCCTGCGAAAGGGAATTCCCACCTGGATGATGTCAGTGATGTCAGTGGAACTCCCGGCCAAAAGCATTGAGGATCCAGACTGGCCCCTCTTTTGACCAATCAGGGGAGGGAGCAGGAGTTTTGAATAGCTATCAAACTGTATAAGACACCATATTTTCTCTCTATGTTTGTGCTTGTACTTTTGAAGCATCAGCTTATACTTGCATCCCCTTTGGTTGACTTAAATAAACCTTTGTAGCTTGTCTTTAACCTGGTCAGTGTTTCTCTATCCTGGCCCATTCGGTTTAGCATATACTCACCAGGCACGGATGCTTTTATCCACAGTTCTAGTTATCCACTTGAAGTGTGCAAGGGAACACATGTGCGTGCCCTCCTTCATCATGCTCCCCCATCCCATCCCTCCCCACCCATCCAAGTGAGTGAGTGATTACTAACTAAGCCTGACTTAAAAGAACACATCTTAAGATGAACACTGATATTATCAAAGTCTATGAAAAAAAACCAGCAGAAGGCAGCAGCAAGTAATCTTCAAGTGCTCAAATCCACAAAGGTAAATGTGGAGGAGCCACTGCACGAACTGCTTTTAGTGGTATTCAACTGTGCAAATTGGAGATCTAGTTGATTGCACATTATGAACTTAAAATCACATTGTGACATAAATCAAATTATGTCAGTGACAATTCCTGGAACTAAGGCAGCTCTGCTTTGTCCCATCCCCATCCATACTTTCAACCCTTTGTGATCGATGATAGGGCCTGTAACATAGTAATCTCAAACTTAAATAGTACTCTTTGACTTTTGTTCATTTGTCTACTTCTGATTCTAGAGCAAAGATAACAAAGCAAATAATTATCTGGAAACTTGGCATTATATGGACAAACTTCGTGCTAGTACAACTGAGTTGAAGTATGAGTCATATACACATCCTCTGAGAAAGCTGCTTATCACAATATCTGTTGACATTTCAAAAGACACAGTTATTTAGGAACACCCTCTGTAAACAATATTTCCTAATGAAAAACTAGAAGAAAATGCTACACAAGTGAAGGCCACTATCTCACAGGCTGATTAGTGAGTTTTTGTCCCAATGTTCTGTTTATATACCAAACAGAGTCCCTTTAACTTCAACCCAATACAAATCCAATGTTGCTTGTGAGACATGGGAATTGAAAAAAATAAAATTATGAGCAGGTAGCTGTCCAGCTGTTTTACTTTTTTAAAAAAATACTTTTTATTAAGGTATATTCTTACAGATATATAGGTAAAAACAAGGGGAGGGTTGGAAATGATGGGATTGGGGGTAGGGAAAAAAAGGGATGGGTACTAGGAACATTGGGTAAGGGGAAGGGGTGTGTTGACTGTAAGGGGATTGAAAGCGATAGGGGAGGGAATGTGCGGGATCTGGGGGAAAGAAAGCTGTTTTACTAAAGCATACAAACATTTGTTCCATATATCACACACACATACATATACATACATACATACGTTGGTGGACAGGAAAAGAAATTTAAAGATGGCCTCAAAGCCCTCCTTAAAATCTCTGGCATAGACACTGAGAACTGGGAAGCCCTGGCCCTTGAGCGCTCCAGCTGGAGGTCAGCTGTGACCAGCAGTGCTGCAGAATTCAAGGAGGCACGAGTGAAGGGTGAAAGAGAGAAACATGCCAGGAGGAAGGCGCATCAAGCCAACCCCGACCGGGACTGCCTTCCACCTGGAAACCAATGCCTTCACTGTGGGAGAAGATGCGGGTCAAGAATAGGGCTCCACAGCCACCTACAAATCCACAAGGAAACCCATCATGGAAGACCATCTTACTCATCCAACAAGGGATCGCCTAAGTAAGTAAGTACATACATACATACATACATACATGCATACAAGACCTTTGTAATTAAGCAAGCCTTCTGCAATGATGGCTACCACGCGGTGGGGGGTGGTGAATCTACCCTGAATTTTAGTTCAAACATTAAGGAAGGCATCCAAGATGCTGTATCTAATTGTAGATAAGGTTATTTATTTATTTATTTATTTATTTATTTACTTCATTTGTTGACCGCCGCTCTCAGCCCTGGGGCGACTCGCGGCGGTGTACAACATGTAAAAAACAGTCTACAAAACATACAGTATATCAACAATCAAATTACACATTAATCTAATCACATTAATAAATCCGCGCCATCACAACAAGGAATCATAGCCAATCTCATAATCCATAGTCCGTTCCAAATGTCATTACCAGATTCGTGTGGCTCAATTAAATGCCTTCTCGAATAGCCAGGTCTTTAGGCTCTTACGAAAAGCCATCAGGGAGGGCGCCTGTCTGATGTTAACAGGGAGGGCGTTCTACAGCCGGGGGGCCACCACTGAGAAGGCCCTCTCTCTCGTCCCCGCCAGACGTGCCTGTGAGGCGGGCGGGATCGAGAGAAGGGCCTCCCCAGATGATCTCAAGGCCCTCGTGGGCTCATAGGCCGAGATGCGGTCCGAAAGGTATTTTGGGCCGGAACCGTTTAGGGCTTTGTAGGATAACACCAGCACCTTGAATTGGGCCCGGTAGCAAATCGGCAGCCAGTGGAGCTGGGACAACAAGGGCGTTGTGTGCTCCCTGCGTCCCGCTCCCGTTAGCAACATGGCTGCCGCGCGCTGGACTAGCTGAAGCTTCCGAGCCGTCTTCAAGGGCAGCCCCACGTAGAGAGCGTTACCACCTTCAGCAGTGGCCAGAGGAGCTTTTGCACAATTAAAGCTTGAGTGCCAGTTGCGCCCTACCTTGAGAAGCCAGACTTAGTCCACGCTCTTGTTACATCGAGAATAGACTACTGCAACATGCTCTACATGGGGTTGCCTTTGACGACTGTGTGAAAGTTTCAAATGGTCCAATGGGCGGCAGCCAGCTTTCTCACCAGAGCCGCATACAGGGAGCACATAAGTCCTCTGTTACGCCAGCTCCACTGGCTGCCAGTCTGCTACTGAGCACAATTTAAAATGCTGGCTTTAGTCTATAAAGCCCTAAACGGTTCCGGCCCAGCTTACCTGTCCGAACGTATCTCCCTTTATGATCCACCAAGGAGGTTAATATCTTCTGGGGAGGCCCTGCTCTGCAAGTGCGGCAGGTGAGGATGAGAGACAGGGCCTTCTCAGTGAGGGCCCCTCAGCTATGGAACTCTCTCCCCAATGAGATTAGATCAGCACCCTCCCTCCTGGCCTTTAGAAAGAGAACAAAGACATGGTTATGGAACCAAGCTTTTGACTGGTGAAGTAAGGCATTACAAGAAGCAAATATGGAATATGTGCAGTTGACATTTGCAATGGCCTGGTCTATGTACTTGAATAATGTGATTTTAATCTTTTTATTAGGTGTTTTAATTTTTATATTTCATGTTTTAAATGTATTTTTATTTTATCTTATGATGAAATGTCCCATTGATTGTATACTTTCTTATGGTGTTGATTGTAAGGCATTGAATTTTGCCACTATGTCTGTGTAAACTGCTTTGAGTCCCCCCAGGGGTGAGGAAAGTGGTATATAAATACTGTAAATAAATAAATTGTATAACTTCTTTAAACTTCAGACTAAAGCTCAGAATGGATGCAGAAGGGATGATTTGCCACTGATTGTCCAAAATACACATTTCTGTTAACATCCTGATTTGGCTAAAGTGTCTGGCAATTTAAAGCTCATTATACAAAAAGTGATGATATCCCTTTCAGATTAAGTACAGTCTTCTTTTCTGCCTTTGACCCAGTGAGAGTAATATAAGAGTGAGCCCAGCAGCTGAGGAGGGCATGAAAGTTAGAAAGAAGAAAAATAGAGATGGCAACCCTACGTTTGTCCTTCCTTGCAAGTGATGGTGCAGCTCAGAATTAAAAGGATATGAGCTGACATATGTTTCTATGTCACAAAAGCATCCCAGCAACCTGATCTGACCTGAATCACTTTCCACTGATGAAATGTGAGAGAGGGAAATTGCTTCACGGGCATCATGGAGACACCCGTAATGCCACAGAAAATTCACAACAAGGCAAGTGTTTTTATACTAGATACTCAAAAATTAGCTTAATTCTTAGGTGAATGCCAGAAACACAACTAGCAGAAATCAATTGGAAGCGAGCCTATTTTACGGTTATTAGCAAGTTATAGATAGATAGATACGTTTTATTGATTGGCCTATTGGCCGTATTAAAACATTTAACACATAACATAGTCATACATAGTCATATATACAACATACAACCCTCAGTATAAAAGGAGTTAAAATAAACAAGCTGTTAACAAGATCTCGTTCAGGTCAAATGTCTGCGTCACCTCCACAGTTTACCCCAATTGATTCTAAATGTGCAATTATCAACTGTGTTGCTTTGAATAGAAAAAGGGCTGTTTTGTGTGTTATTTTAGGGTTCTGGCCGGCCAACAAAAATGAGGTTTTAATATATGGGTCCCAGTGTGTTTTTTGAATAATGTATGGTCCAAGGCAATGGTCTCTCTCTTTCTTATACAGCTCACAGTTGAACAATACATGTGTGATATCCTCCACCTCTGGTGCTCCACAAATACAAAATCGTTCGTTGTATGGGACTTGATTAAACCTTCCGTGCTTGTCCATTGTATCCAGCTGTTCAAAACGAGCTCTGGTAAATACCCTCCTAAGGTGTTTAGGCATTTCTGTTTTTAGATATCGAGCTGTTTGGAAAGTATGTTTAAAGCGGCCTAACCATTTCAGTGAGCCAGCTTTACTGAGGGTAGCGATGTCTTTTTGGCCTTCTATATCCAATACTCGTTGAGCAACTATTTTTGGGTCTAACTCTTCTAAGAGATTCGGATACCGAGTCGGAAGTCCACAGCTCCTAATGTATTTTGTCAGGAGAACTAACCAAGAGGTCTGATGTTGATTTTCTATCTGCTCTAACAGGCACAGTTTGGGGAGTCTATCATTTTCCATGGCCATCAGTTTTGCCCAGTAGTTGTAGGCCCTGATTTTGGATAAGCCATCCACTGTGTGTACTCCCAGTTCCGCTCTTACTGCGGCAGCTGGGGTCGTCCTGTCCACTCCTAGGAAACTTCGCAGGTGCTGTGATTGTGATTGCTCTAATAATGGTACCTGGTTTAGACCCCAAACTTCAGCTCCGTACAAGAGCATGGGAGTAACCTTTGCTTTATATACTTTGAGAAGTGGGTCTAAGGATCCTGGTTGGTTGTGATTTGTCAGTTTAAGTAGTTGATTTGCATGTACTCTTGCCCTAACTGAACTTTTTTGATGGTGTGGTAGCCAAGAGCCGGTCTCAGAAAAAACAATTCCCAGATATGTGAAAGTGCAAACTATTAGCAAGTTATAACTTTTTTCTGGACCTGGTAACAGAATTGGTAAAATTATGTCCTTCACCTGTTTTGCAGATTTCATTGTGATCGTCCAAGTTGATATACCCAATATTTTACAAGCTGTTGATCTTGAACCTGTAGATTCTATGCTACTATGATTATATCACTGGTTAACACACATTTTGGTGCCTCAAATGTTAGCCCCATTTCTGAGTATATTTGACCTGCTGATTCCAAAAATGGCACCAGTTTTCCCCATCGACTCTAGTTTTTGAGACAGAACATATGCCATATACCAGTCATTATCTGCTTACCCACTGAAACTCATGATTACCATATCCAAGAAACTAGAGCCTGAAATAACCCCTATAACAGGCCTAAAAACAAGGCACCAAAGAATAATAATAATAATAATAATAATAATAATAATAATAATAGCAAAGACTCTGGCACAAGCTAGTCAAGGTGGTCCCAGTGGTGATTGGCACACTAGGTGCAGTGCCTAAAGACCTTGGCCTGCACTTAAACACAATCGGAGCTGACAAAATTACCATCTGCCAGCTGCAGAAGGCCATCTTACTGGGATCTGCATGCATTATTCGCCGATACATCACACAGTCCTAGACACTTGCGAAGTATCCAACATGTGACCAAATACAACAGCCAGCAGAGTGATCTTGTCTGCTGTGGACTCATCTTGTTGTGTTTCTAATAATAATGATAATAATAACAGCAACAACACTTTATTTATATTTTTCCTATCTCCCCAGAGGGACTCAGGGCAGATTCCAAACATAAAAGGAAAACATTCAATGCCTGAACACAACAATACATCCATACAAACTAAATTTGGCAACCCAACATATGAAAACAAATTATGACTAAACAGCTCAAATTAAATAAAAAGTGCAGCCTGTTATATCAGACATAAGACAAAACATCAAATATCAAAAAATTGTTAGGCTGTGTTATTCTTAAGCAGTGTTAAGAACTCTATTGAAAATCTGGCTGGGAGATTCTAGGAGCTGTAGTTTTTAAAATATTTTTTCCCCAGTTTTGCTAGAGTCGGGCACAGTTTATGATTCACCACCAGCACCATCACTAAGAGTTCTATGTCTCCTTAAATAACTAGCAAGTCTCCATATGAAATCTTTTAGAAGGAACACAAACAAAATCCTTTAAAACAAATGGCTGGTCATCTGAACTTGGCCCAGGTGTTTTACAGGAAATAAGAATCATCGCATTATTAGACCAGAGGTTTAGCACAGCTGGTAAATCATCAGCAACTATAAGATCTATCAACAGAAAGGTTGCAAGTTCAAAGCCCCAGGTCGGCGTAAGCAGCCGACCGTCAGTCCTGCTCACTTTTTACCTAAGCAGTTCGAAAACAGCTTTAGCTGCAATTAGAGAAATTATGTACTGCTAAAAGCCATACAACGCCATAAAGAAAAAGAAGATCAGAAAATGCTGGAATGAGGAAGTCCTGATGGCTCTTAGTCATAGAGGAGGGAGTGACAGCACCCCCTGTGGACTCAAGCCCAACCGTACATGGCATCGACACAACATCTCCTTCTGTTCTGTCTGTGTACTGTCTATACAAACAGCATTGAATATTTGCTGTGTATGTGTACTTGTGATCCACCCTGAGAAGGGAGGAACATAGAAGGGCAAAATATAAATAAAGTGTTATTATTGTTTATTATTGTTATTATAAACTGAGTCAAAATCCTGTAGTATGACATAAAAGTGGGCACTTCAATCCAAACCACTGTTGTTTAGATCTAATGAATGGGTTTAAAGAAGAAGAGACTATGCCATTGTTTAAATGCACAATGGAAGAGGCTAAGCAAATATATAAATACACAGTAGAAGATACTAGACAGTTACCGCTGGTCCTATGTAGTCATGGATTCTACATCCATGAATACAGCCATAATTTGAAAATGTTCCAAAAATATTCTAGAAAGCAAACCATGATTTTGCCATTTTATATCATGGACACCATTTTTATACAACTCGTATATAATGAGATTTGTTTTATTTATCGTCGGCAGCAAAATATTGATAGCCCAGAAATGGAAAAGTAAAGAGATTCCAACTAATGAAGATTGGATAAAGAAAATAACAGATTTCAGAATTTGTGACAGATTATCGAGTCAAATAGAAGAACTCAGTAAGACCAAACAAATAAGCTGGAAGGACATGGAAGAATATTTGAAAAGCAAATTCAAACTGGACACTTAAAAGTCGATGGGTAAGAAGAGCAAGGACAGCAAGGAACAGGAAAAAGGAACAATACAACGAGATAATCACTCCTCTGCGGACTGAACGGAAGTGATGCACACATTCGTCTGACCCCCATCCCATTCTCCACCCATTCCTACCTCCCCTTTATCCCTTCTATTCTACTTCTGGGCCCCTCCCTACCTCTCTTACCCCGCCTACCCTTTATTTTATCCCCCACGGTCTGTCTAAACTTCACAACTTTCTATCACAATAATTGTTCTCCCTCTTTCACTGTAAAAGAAAATGGTATAAAAATTAATAATAATATAATGAGATTTGAGCACTCATGGGTTTAGTAACCATGGAACACCCAGAAACCAAAACTCAGTGAATACTATAGTTAGGCTTTTAGAAGAGCCATAATTCTATTTGTTCAAGATAAACTGATGTGTGTTGGCTTATGTCCTCCTTTTGTTCTCTCCCTAATCATTAAAGGTCATTGGATCACACAATTCTTTCAACAGGTATAAAAAAACAGAATCTGATAATAAACAAATAGAAAGTATATTATCTTATGACCTTCTCTGCACAATGACTGAATACAAATACAATGTTTTACTGATGATTCTGATCATCTTCCCCCCCCCCCCAAAAAAAAAAGGAGTGGAAAGGTTGAGCAGATTCTGGTTGCATCTACTTTAACTGCCATGACACAATAATTTGGAATCCTGGGATTTGTAGTTTGCTGAGGCATCAGTACTCTTTGGCAAAAAAAACCCCACTAAAGACCTTATAGAACTACAACTTCCAGGATTCCATAGCATTGCACCACAGCCGTTAAAGTGGTGTCAAACTACGTTAATTCCACAGTACAAATGCACCCTAAGTGTCCTTTAAAGAAAGATGATATCTGTTCAGCAGTGCATAAGAGACAAGCAAATCAAATAGTATTAGCAAGAGCAGCTGGCGCCCCCGGTGGGGCAGTGGGTTAAACCCCTGTGCCTGCAGGACTGAAGACCGACAGGTCACAGGTTCAAAGCCAGGGAGAGTACGGATGAGCTCCCTCTATCAGCTCCAGCTCCTCATGCGGGGACATGAGAGAAGCTTCCAACAGGATAGTAACACATCAAAACATCCAAGCGTCCCCTGGGCAATGTCCTAGCAGACGGTCAATTCTCTCACACCAGAAGCGACTTGCAGTTTCTCAAGTCGCTCCTGACATGACTAAAAAACAAGAGCAGGTTTAAGCTATCACATATTTTTGTATGCCAGACTTGATCTCTCGTATGATATGTGCCTATATTGCCTTAAGTTCAGCAAATCCATTAAAATAAATTACCAAACATTTTCATATGTGATTTTATACACAACATATTCTCTATTTGCATTATGGACTCGTATTTGTATACTTACAGGTGCTCATAATCATTAATAGAGAGCTCTCACATTTGTACTGTTCTCAAGATATACACACGTTCAATTTTGCAGTTGACTACTGTTGTCACAGTGCCCCTCCTTAGCTGGATTTAGTTTAACTTCCCATTGCTGTTGTGTGCTTGAAATGTTTACCTGTTTGTGCACTTCCTTCTCAAACAGAAAGAATTGGAGAAGTTTTTGAAGAATGCAGGCTCCCAACTTGTTGTCATTGACTTTTCCGCCAAATGGTGTGGGCCTTGCAAAATGATTCGTCCCGCCTTTCATGTAAGTTTAATATTACCCTCACTCTCCACCTACTCTTGCCAGATTGTTGTAATTGTTAAGTGTCATTGTCAGTTGGCACTGACTTAAAGTCACTCTATGAATGAGAGCCATCCAAAGACACTGTCATTGACAGCTGTCTTGCAAAATTGCAGCTTTGGCTTCCCTTGATTGAGTCAATCCACCGATAACACAGTTTTCCTCTTTTTGCTGGAGAAAAGTGGGAATCCACTTCTGCTCTCATATCACTAAAACTGAGCAGCTGTGCTGTTGCTTTAAAGGAGTTCTCCAATATGCTGAACCAAGGGATTACTATAGTAAAGCTTTGAATCAAATCTCAAATCTGCAAAAATCCAAACCACAAATGTGGAGGAACAGCAGTATTAAGCACATGAGAAACAAATATAGAGTTCTCACTTGAATAAATTTGATTCTAAACTTGAGAAGGAGCCCATATGAATAAATTGAATAGTATCAACTATGCTAAAGAACGTCACCAAGTAGATAAAATTATGAGAAAAGGTAAGACTGCCAAATTTCTGTATGGGGTAAGTCATTGTAGTAGTATTAGTAGTAATGGTGATAGCTGCTATGATTTTCCCATTCCAAACATTACAGAAATATCATTCACCCATGGCCTGATTGTTGGTAGAATGGACCTCTTTTCCCCCATGCATCTGATGTCTACCAAAATAGGTTATGATGGGGTAGGGACTAAGTAATACTTATGAATACAGAATAGTTATAGATTAGTAAATCTAGGTAACTATTCAATATTCATGATCATTACTTAATCATGAATGTGGCACTGTTGCCATGGTTGTAAACCCACTGACCTCCAACCTCCTTTCCCAGGCATCAACTGAATTGGGAGAAGGAGATCTATTCAGCCAGCAATTGGAACATGGTTGGATCATGATTTTTCCAGGTTTGGTTGGGAGGTCAGGCTACGAAAAGTTATTCAGTTAGGTATGTTAAGCACAAATAGCTGAGACGGAATACTGGTTCTCATCTAACTACATATGCATTGGATAGCTAGGACCGTGGAAGAGGATCCATGCCTGGCGAGCATATGTTAAACCAGACAGGCCAGGACAAAGAAACTAACTCACCAGGTTGAAAACAAACCACAAAAGTTTATTAGAATTTGGCCAAAAGGGATGCAAGTATAGCAATTAGTTTCAAAATATACGAACATAACCATACAGGAAAAAAAATACATCTTATACAGTTTTGACCCTTATTCAGACTTTCTGCCCCCTCCTCGGATTGGCCAGAAAAGAGGCTGGCAAGGATCCATGCTGGGATTGGGTGGGAGGGAGAATGGCAGAGTGAAGGACCAATCAATTGCAGAGACACCCCCTAGGAGGGCACAGTCCAGGGAAAACAAATGATAAAGATATGTTGATAGGCTTTTGTCAATGTCCACTTCTATGTCAAAAAAAAGGTGTGGATCTTAGGAAACAAAGGTGCAAAACTCAAGAGACAGAGGTGCTGATCTTGGGTAACCAAGGGTCTGGCTGTCAATAAAAAGGTTTAACAATGCACATACTCTGAGCTTCTGTTTCTGCAAGCAGCAGTTTCTCAACTTCAAATGATACTTATAATTAGACAGCTAGGTTTGGGTTTATGTGGGCTGCCAAAGAAGTCACATATATTTGCATATGAATGAACAATGGAGTGTGGTGATGCCTGGCTGGGAAACAGAGAGAATTTTGCTCAACCTTCTAATTCTCAGGAAATTTCTCAATAGGGCTAGGAAGAGCTGACTGTCTCTGGGCTTATCAGGTGATATTTTGGTTAAAAGGTCTATACATTTTATATATATGAAACAGATACAATACACAGAAAGATATAAGTTATATTGAAAGTCACAAAGAATAGATATAATCTAGTCAAGGGTTAGATATAACAGAGTTTAGGGGTTTATAGCTGCTGTTGGTTCGGTCTCAATCTTTTGATGCTTTGAACTTGCACAAGTCTGGAAAGGGTCTTTTAAAAAGGAAAAATCATATATTATAAATGAATTGTAAATCTTTGAGGGTGGTATTGTGTCTCAATAACACATACGGCCACACAAAGAAAAAGGAACTTTGGAAATATTAACACCTGCCTTGTACTAAATCCTATGGGGTCAACGAGCATTATTTCACAGCCCAATTTGATGATTCCTTGTGATCTTCTATTCATGTCTTCCATCTTCCTGCAATCCTCCTTAGTTTCCCAAATTGGGTGAGATTGAGGGTGTTAAGCAGCCAAATTATTTGGATGGAGAGCAAATTGATAATGCATCTTGCTAAGGATCACAATAACAGGCTTTTAGGAGAGCACTTTTTGTGAGAGGACTTTTGGCTTTATATTCTTTTAATGAATAAAGCGTAAGTCCCAAGAGTAATTTTGAGGAAAGATTTAAAAGGTAGCAGAGGAGGCACGTTCATGAAGCTAAGTATTGATTCTGTGCCCTTTTTTAGCTATATGCTGAATAAACACCAAAAACTTTACTCATTTCATGGATCCCTGAGTTGTTGTGTCAGGTCTCTTCCTATATACCCTACTAATACTGTACTAAAAAGCCTAATACAATTATTATTTGAATTAAAACTCTCCAAAAATGAACTTCAAATTACACAATTTTTAAACTCTATTAAAATGATAGATATTCTCCTGGGAATGGAGAGCCACTTTCAGCTCCAGTCTCTTTGTGCATTATCGTAATTGGCTGGCAGAGTGAAAAAGGGACCTATCAGGTGAACTGAAATGGCCAAATAATGTATTTTCTGCATTTTCCCTTCAGTTGTAGTTGCTGTAGTGTGCCTTCAAGTTGCTTCTAACCTATTACAACCCTAGGGTGAAATTATCATGGATTTTTTTCAGCAAGCTTTGTTCTGGGGAGGTTTACCATGGCCTTCCTTTGTGGCTCAGAGAGTGTGATCTGCTCAAGGTCACCAAGTGGGTTCCCATAACTGGGTGAGGATTCAAACCCTGTCCTCCCAAGGTTTAATATCCAGACTATCATACCACATTGGCACACTAATTTAGGGTGCTCCCTGAAAAAATTAGGAGGGAAACTAAGGCCCCTGGAGTCAATGAAGCAGCAGAAATGTGTGTTGAGGCTAAATTCTAAAATACTAAATGGAGAAATTGAGTGAGGACATGCAGGAACCCTTAAAGAGCCACATAATTTGAACATTTGGTCTAGTGCAGTGGTTCTCAACCTATGGGTCCCCAGGTGTTTTGGCCTACAACTCCCAGAAATCCCAGCCAGTTTACCAGCTGTTAGATTCCTGGGAGATAAAGGCCAAAACATCTGAGGACCCACAGGCTGAGAACCACTGGTCTGGTGTAAAGACTTGCTTATCCCATGGTCTCTTGAAGTCATCATCTAATTAAGTTCTGAATAGAAGTTATTCTTTATTGGCTTGGTAGTGAGTACATTTTCACCAAACACTATCTGTCACATACATATGCAACTGAGCTGCAGGCTGCATTGCTGAAAATTTGAGAAATTATTTTATGCAGTTTTTGGGATACTTATCAGTTTTGGACCTCATTGAGGACCATATGCAAGACATACACTCCAACCCTATCTATATTTACTTAGGAGTATGCTTCATCGATTTCCAAAGAATGTACAAGAGGCTAACGTTTACTGGACTATGTCAAGCAAATTTGGTGTGGTTTACTGAATACACTCGGCCCTTATGAACACTCCCATATGCCTGCATTTTACAAGAAATACTAATAGTCTTTTGGGCAGCTTGCCAACTGTGTGATCTTCTTATCTGCTTAATCCCAAGGTTCCTTGGAATGCATTTTAAAAACTTTGCTTTAAAGTGAAGCTCTTAAGGTTGCCACTTTTTCCTCTGAAAAGCTATTAGACTTTGCCTCAACCTGCTAGCTTGTCCCATTCCAACAGATCAGTGTGATTACGAATACTGACCCCTCTCCAGAAGAAGATGGAGTGCCACCTAACCCAGTCAGCTCCAAGCATCTCACTTAAAACTCCCCAAATGCATCAATGCTCTAACCATCCAAGGCCAGCTAAAGTACCAAAGGCATTGGCAAGGAAAGAGATAGTCACAAATTGGCTCATTTGCAATCAGTATAGCTTACTTCCAAATAACAAGTTGCTTGTTTATTTATTCATTTAATATTTCAGTACAGCCTTACACCCCAGTTTGGGGCACTATCATTTAAGACAACTTTGAAACAACACGGAACACTTTAAAACAAGACAGCAGGATAAATAAAATCCCAAACCCAGAACCAAGCTACAATGACTGAACCCCAAAGTCTAGGTGGATGGAAAAAAATAATTTGGCTCTGAAGTAAGGCTGTCCATTCCAGCTGAGCCTCAATGAAGATGATGTTCCTTAGTCCAAGAAGGCCACCGCCCAAAAGGCCCTCTCTTTCATCCTCACATGGTATCAAATTTGCTCTGAAGGTTTCTCAAAAGTTCACCGGAACATGATTTTAGATATATTGAGAACCTATAGAAGCATACTATTGGATCCTGGCATGTACAGTTGGACCTCCATATCTATGGGTGATTGGATCCAGAACCTTTTGTGAATACATACATCCACAAATTCTAAAGTTCCATATACAGAAAAAAACCAAAATGACTGACAAACCAGGCACAAACTGGATCAGTAAGATGTAGATGATTACCAGCCAATCTCTCCAGCAACCACAGGAACTGTGAAAACAATGAAGAAGCAGGGATGATGCAGCCATGTTCATGGCTCTTCCTTTGCAAGGCAAGTCCAGCCATGACGAATAAACAAAGGAAGTGATCGGATCCGTGACCAGTTGAATCCATAGATATGGCACTCACAGATAGAGTACCAATTGAACATTTAATGTGGTTTGACCACCAGATCCAATGTGATGTAGTAGTTTAAATACTCAACTAGGGTCCCTTCCATGCTGGCCTTATTTCCCAGGATCTGATCTCAGATTATCTGATTATCCCAGATTATCTGGCAGTGGAGACTCATATAATCCAGTTTAAAGCAGATAATTTGGGATCAGATCCTGGGATATAGGACAGTGTAGAAGGAGCCTAAGACTCCAGAATCAGGGTTGAAATCCCCACTCAGTCATGGAAACCCACCAGGTAGCCTTGAATAAACCATACACTCTCAACTACAAAGGAAGACAAACCCATATCTGAAACAATCTTACCAAGCAAACTCTGTGTGAGGATCACCTTAGGGTCACCCTAACTCAGAAATGACATGAAATAACATAACAGCAACACAACAACATTTAATCAACAGGAGCCAAAATTCTATTTTGATGTCATGTCATGTCATGCTATTTGATCTAAAAAACTTTTGAATTCTTAATTTTCTTTCCCAAAATATTATGTTAAATGGATAAAATGGATGGGTAGAGGAAAAATTGGGGGTTGAATGAGACCTGAAATGGTGATTCATACGAAACTACTGTTCTCTGGTAACTAACATGCTTAATTGTCTTCTATTCCAAAGGAGTTAGCTGTTCGGTATGAACATGTGCTGTTCTGCATTGTTGATATAGACTTGGCAGAGGTAAGTTGCTAAATTCAGAGGACTGATTATGTTGAGTTTTTCTATTTTGTAGACATTTGGAGAGTACCAGATTAGGGAAGAGAATATTAGGGTGACACCCAAAGGTACACTTTGCTTAACATGAAAAGATGCTATTCTGCATAGTTGACAGAGACTTGACAGAAAGAAGTGAACAAAATTCAAAGGACAAATTATGTCGAGTGTTTCCATTAGAGTAGTCTTTGCCAACCTGGTGCCAGCATGACTGTATAGTCTGATACATTTGGTGAGTACGAGAATAGGAAAGAGATTATTAGGATTTGGACTATTGGCCCATTCATGATTCTAGTTCCAGCAGTGACAAATCAGCTTTCCTCCACCGTGTCTCCTTCTTAGATGAGTCCAATTGTTTCTCTCATGAGCCAGCATAACCAAGGGTTATGGTGGGAGCTGTAGGCCAAACTGTATGGAGGGATCCTGGTTGATAAAGATGCTCTAAAAACTTGAGACTAGGACATAATGGTAATGGTCATTGATTCTGAAGTATATTTAGCATCTGCCATAAAAGAAAGCCTAGAGAAGACAATGATGCTGAGGAAAAAGGAAGGAAAAAGGAAGAGGGGCCGACCAAGGGCAAGATGGATGGATGGTATCCTTGAAGTGACTGGATTGACCTTGAAGGAGCTGGGGGTGGTGACAACCAACAGGGAGCTCTGGCGCGGACTGGTCTATGAAGTCACAAAGAGTCGGGAATGAATGAATGAATGAATGAACAACAACAAAACACTGTAATTACAGTACTACACAGTAAATTCAATTCCAATTTTCCCAATCCCAATTTATTTGTCAGCAGTCAGTGTGATTGATAGGGGTCTATTCCCCTGCTGATCAGGAAGCAGCTGGCTAAACTCTACCCATCCACAGCAAGGTACTACTTCTGCCTATCGCATCAGAGATTGCTCACTGAGATGGGAATATCACTTAGCTTCTTCTTGACCAACAAGGGATATATCATCATCAATTGCAGCAGCCACACTCACACACCCCTTCCCAATAAATGCAACCTGGGGAACTTTCACAACCTCTATATATGCCCTAAATTAGGGATTACATATGGCTTGTGAATACAAAACAGTTATGACTGCATAGTTCTAGGTTACACAATCACAACAGCCTAATAGGATTCCAGCCAATATTTATTTTATCTTTGGCTTTTCCTATCAAGGCAGGGATCAACAAATAGCATAACACATAACATTAGCTGAAAGAGTATATGAAACCTTTGCATGACAGCCTAATTCGGATTGACTGAAGTAGGTGCCCCAAGAGGATATGAATGTATGGGGTGGATTTCACGTAAGAAGATGATCCTTAAGTAACCTGGACCCAAATGATGTAGAGTTTAAAACCTAATAACCAATACTTTATACTTCATCTAGAAACCAGTCGAGAAAATTGGTGAATATTGGGTGCAGCCCTGACAGATAAGAAGCAAAACAATTTTGCCCTTGTTTATTTTCCGCCTCATATATTTTTAGAGATTTCTACTGTAATGATATTCTTGATTTCATGGTAAATCATGCTTTGTCTCTTCCCTAGGGTGTGGCAGACCTTTGCAATATCACCGCCGTGCCAACCTTCCAGTTCTTCATGAAAGGAGAAAAGGTATTTGCGTCCTTTGAAGCCCATCCTAGTGTATTAGACCAGGGCTTTTCAAAGTTTGCCACTCATGACTCATTTTGACCTGAGAAATCTTTATGGGACACAGGCTCTAAAAATATATAAGACAGGTATAAAAATCAAACATTTACTAATTTGCAAGATCTGCTATATAGACTGATTTTCCTTTTTATGAAGCACAGCTGGAGCATCTTCTGCAGAATCCACTGTAAACACTAGACGGGCCAGAAAACTTTTACTGTTGCCAAATTTTCAGGAACCCAACCTTGAGTTAAGGGGTCGGAGTCCACAGTTTATGAAGCAGTACATTAGACCACCTGGATTTTTGTCCTTAACCTCCAAAGTCTGCCCATAGAATCCAATAGGAGTCATTTTTATTAGAGATATAAATAATAATTATAAATTCTCTTGCCTGTGCCAGGAAAGAGTGTCTCAACACATTGAGAGACATGTTGAATATTCCAAACATTTTTTTAAAAAGTTATAACCATATGGTGACATTTTTGTGAAGGGATTTTTGCACAAGCACATTACATTTTGCTCACATACATGCACACATTCACACACAGATGTTTTACACAAAACAGTTGCATTTTGTACTGCATAGTGGGTTTTAGCACAAAAAATAATTTTGTAAAAATTCTTCATAATTCCCCCCCCCCCCACAAAATAAATAAATAAATAAATCCCAAAATACAAATAAAATAACATACGGAGGGTTCATCTATAACAGGCAATTAAACTGGGTGTAAATAGCTCTGGAGCAGCTATTCATGTCTAATCCAGGTCCTTTGTTTGGACAGCCTAGGAGCACATCCACTTCGGCAGCCTGCATCTCGTTTCCTGAGATTTACAGAGATTCTCCAGAGTTCTTATTATGAACCCCAAATATAAACCCATTCTTTTGGTGGAGTGTTCAAGGAATAATAAGGCAGTTTAGATCAGTCAGACACTTCAGAGACCAAATTTGGTTTTAACACTTTTCGTGTAACATTTATTGAATACAATCACATTAGAATCACATCAGATTCACATCAAGAGAGAGCTCTCATTCATTCATCTCAAGCATTCAAACATACTCTCACACACAGGCCTCTCCAAATGAAGATGATCAGGTTCCTCTGAAAGGGTTCCATTGCCGCGCTTCAGGAAACATGCTTAATCTGGGGGTCCCCTGCATTTAAAGCTGAAAGTCAGTCTTTCTTTTTGATGAGCATGTTTTTTTGTTATCATAGCTTCAAAACATCCACATTCCAGGCCATATGACTTATGGGGTACCACCTATACACCTTATACACCTCGCTGCAAACCTTATTGTCCATTGTTATTCAGATAGGTCTTACTGCTTCCTCGCTTCGTCTACCAAGTCCAACTCATATAATGCTTTGAACGAACTCCATGTTGATTCTTCAGGCCTGTTTTTTCTGCTCTTCTTCATGCATTCCCACACTCCTTCTTTACATTCTCAGCACTTTAATAATCATTATACATCCAACTGAGGAACAGGATTGCCACATATTTTAAAGTAAGTAGGTGCTGCATAGAGAGGATGGGACTACCGACCTCTGCAATACCGAAGAAAGCACATCTGCAAGCATACTAGACATGCACACATATGACCTGGCTTATGAGTGCACTGAATCTTGACCTAACATGTCTATCAGGCATAATTTGCACTGCAGCCAGGGGCAGCTGAAGCAATAGGCAAGATATGCATTTGCGTATAGCGTGAATACCCGAGGGGTGCTCTTGAGGTGCTCCCGCCTCGATCCATTGCTGGGCTACAGTCAAGGCTGGCTCCGGGCAGGGGGCGTCCTCAGCCAGCTCTGCAACCATGGGGCTGGCCATTGGCAAGGGCCATGAATAAGGTCCTTCCTTCTTTACCTTACATGTCTATTAGGCATAATTTGCACTGCAGCATTTGTTCTGCGAAAGAAAAATGTTAGATGGCTGAACTGGACTCATTCCTCACACTCATTGTTTGTCTTTATTTTACTAACTTTCAGAAAACAGCACATTTGAGCCTTCTACACTGTTTGTACTGTATAACTGAATAACTGTATAACTGTGGTTCTTTTAGTGATCATCTGTATCTCCATGCAAAGCTGCATAACCTCGGCACTTTCAATCCCCTTTATGTAGAGGGCAGACATATTCAAGCACAGTTTAAAGATAATGAACCATATGAATACTGAGAACAGCATTTCCATTCGCTTATGAATACTTAACATCTGGACAAAAGCTAACACACAGGTCCTCTGGTTATAGTTACTCTCATTATATCCAGATTTACTGATGTAATTGAATCAGCAGTGATTTTTTTCTGTTCATGTGTGTATAAACGTTTATATAAGCAGGTTTTATATATATCAATGTCCTCTTTTGCTGTCTTTTCGGCAGGAGATGGATGTGTAAGTGGCCCTTGCAATCTCCACTGCAGTCCTGTAATTATTTTTTAAAATATAATGAGGTGGTGGTTGTATAGAGGGTTAGAAAAATGATCTACATGTATACAGATAAACTTTACTTAACTGAGTAGTTTCTCAATTTCATTTTATTCGTTATGTTTTATCTCAGCCTTTCGTTGTTCGGTCTGAAACAATTTTTAAAAGGTCAATAAATCAGTAAACAATAAAACCTATAAAAGAATAAAAATCACAGGGGCATAAAAATCACATTGGCATCAGAAACCTGGGAAAATATTCAGATATACACATACAATTAATTCTACCAGCACCAGACTGCTCCCAGACAAGAATTTATTATTATGGCTCATTCAGCTAAATTTTAAGTGGGGAACCAGACAAAGGTTGCTTCTAGACCTTTGTCTTTTTTACTGTGCAATAGCAGAGTTCATGTTTACAAAAGCTCCAGGTGACATCAGATGGATTCTTGTTGGAGACATAAGCTGACATATCCTCCCAATTCACAACCTCCCCATACATAAACTATTTATGGTTGCTGCAGAAAGAGATGTCGAGTATCTTTTTGCATAACAGAACCCTTGACTCTTGCAATACTGGCAGCTTCAGAATTATTTACATTGGCTTCAACGCCATTGAGACACCATGAGATAATCCTCCCCCTTTTTTACATCTCTGCTGATGTTGGAATAGACCACTTGTGATGGCCAGGAGCTTACATGGAGATCTGTAGCCAACTGGAAGTAGCATTGGTGGCATGAAAAGTGAGGTGACAGTCCAGTAGAGCTAAGGCAAAGTTCCAACTTAGCTAAAGGAGGCAGTTGTGAGACCTATATTAAAAACCCATCCCTAAACCCCTCTATAATAGGCAGTTATCAAACAGTGTCCAACCTCCCCTTTCTAAGCAAGGTCTTGGAGCATGTGGTAGCCTCCCAACTCTAGGGATTTCTTGATGAGATTGATTATCTAGATTTATTTCAATCTGCTTTCAGGCCTGGCCATGGAACAGAGACAGTTTTGGTGGATGACCTACACAGAGAGCTAGACAGAGAGAGTGTGTCCTTGTTGGTTCTGCTGGATCTCTCAGCAGCTTTCAATACCATTGACCATTATATCCTTTTGGGTGGTCCCGCTGGGATGGGACTTGGAGGCAGTGTCTTACAGACAGCGCCTCCTAGAGTGCCATACCTAAGTGGTGCTGGTGGACTCCTGTCCAAACCCCGTGCTGGTTATGATCTTTAAAGTCTTAGATGGCTCCGGTCCAGGCTATTTGGCTGACTACATCTCCTTGGACGAACCTGCCCAGGCCCTGAGATCTTCAGGAGAGGCCCTTCTCTCAATCCCACCTCCATTTCAATGAGAGAACGGGCCTTCTCAGTGGCTGCCCCTCAACTCTGGAACTACCTTCCCAGGGAAGTCAGAATGCCCCCCCCCCCTCTGCTGGCTAAAACCTTTTTATTCAGGCAAGCTTTTAAAGATGAAGGTGTTCAAGACAATCAAGGGTTGTGATGGTTTTGTTATGTGATTTTATATGCTTGATGGCTTTAACCTGGATTGTTTTAATATTAATGTCATTTAATATAGTTTTAATATTTGTTTATTTGTATATTCTAAGTTGTATTAAAATGCTTTTAGTTGTGAGATGTTTTGAGTCTCTGTATGGAAAGAAAAAGCAGGATATAAATGAACAAAACAAACAAACAAATAAATATTGAAGTATCAGGTCACCTGAACCATGTGGACACCAACACGGTGCTACAGCGGATTTGGAAGAGTGTGCGTGTACATCTCTGGGTCCAGTCCATATAGTCCCTGCTTCAGACTGGCGATGGATTTACCAGCCAGTGTAAACTCAACTCCAGTAACCAACCACCTGATCTCAGAAGGTGAGAACATCTGAAGAAGAATTTCCAAGAATAGGTTCAGTAGTGTGTGGGCAGGCTGATTAAGTAGGGTTGGGCACTTCTCCAGAATTTCCGGTTCTTCAGTTAATTTCATTTTATTCTTGCTTATTCCTAGATTTTTGAAATGACTGGTGCTAATGCAAAAAAACTGGAGAAGAAGATTAAAGAGCTGATGTAATCACTGAAGAAAGCTTCACTGCGATCTCATGTTATTGCCTACAAATGCCAGTAAAAGAACTTTTCCACAAGCGACCATCTAGGTGAAGGATATTCATTCAATATGAATGGTCTATTGAAGGCAGAGATCTAGAGGTTCCTATGTAATTGAATGATACATTTGACACTCAGTCACTCAGTCATCATAGAAAGGATGCAATTGTGTAGTCATGCCCCATTTCCACAGGTCTCATGTTCTGTCTGAGATCACCGGAAATTGCCTAAAGTCTTAATGGCAAACTAGCCCCACAGGGGAAAGCTTTGAAAGACCTGCTTGGTCTCCAGACCTCAAGAATTTGGAAGTGTGCTAATGGATCTTATAATCCTCTAGCAATTCACCTGGGGCTTTGAACTTCATACCTCTTACTTCTAACCACCTTATCACACAGGGTGAAATAAATAAATCCTCATAAACTTCTTCCTAACAGCCCTCTATTGTATAAAAACACAGAAGATCAAGTTTTGTTTTAGGGATTTTTAAAAGAACATTTCAAGGCATGGATGGTGGAATCTGTGAATGCAGAATCTGTTGATATGGAGGTTCAACTGTATTATCGTGCTCTGACCTACATGAAGCACTGCCTGAATATCAAGCAAAAAGTGGGTGCTAGAAACAATATCATACGAAAGCTGACTGGCACAACCTAGGGATCACAACCAGACACAGTGAAGACATCTGCCCTTGCGCTGTGCTACTCTGCTGCTGAGTATGCATGTCTAGTGTGGAACACATCTCACCACACTAAAACAGTGGGTGTGGCTCTTAATGAGACATGCGGCATTATCACGGGGTGTCTGCACCCTACAACACTGGAGAAATTACACTGTTTAGCTGGTATTGCACCACCTAACATCTGCCGGGAAGTAGCAGCCAATAGTGAAAGGACCAAGGCAGAGACATCTCCAGCTCATCCCTTGTTTGGGTATCAGCCAACACGTCAACGACTTAAATCAAGAAATAGTTTTCTAAGATCTACAGAGACACTCGCTGGAACACCTCAGCAAGCCAGAGTCCAAAAGTGGCAGGCTCAAACCAATGGCTGATACCCAATGAGAGACTCCACCCTGGGCACACAGAAGACTGGGCGACTTGGAAGGCGCTGAACAAGACTGCGCTCTGGCACCACGAGATGCAGAGCCAACCTCAAGAAATGGGGCTACAAAGTGGAATCCACGACATGCGAGTGTGGAGAAGAGCAAACCACTGACCACCTGCTGCAATGCAACCTGAGCCCTGCCACATGCACAATGGAGGACCTTCTTGCGGCAACACCAGAGGCACTCCAAGTGGCCAGATACTGGTCAAAGGACATTTAATCAACTACCAAACTTGCAGACTTTGTGGGTTTTTTATCTGTTTGTTTGTTCTGTTAGAAATGTAATACAATGGTCTGGTTGCCCGTGACATGATAAATAACTGTATTATTATTTCCTTGGACCCACACTCCTCTTGATGCATCCTAGAATGTATTGGCTTTTTAAATCACTGGATCACACTGTTGACTCATCTCTGGTTTACTGTCTAAGCCAGGCATGGGTAAATTATTTTGCCTTAAGGCCGCATTGCAGGCTGGGCCAGGAGGGCTGGGTTGGGAGGGGAACTGTTTGCAACCTGGACAGAGCAGGTCTGCAAGGGGTAGGGCGCAGGAGTGGACAGGGCAAGGAGGGAGCAGGGTCATCCTCAGGCTGTCCTCCCAGGATATTGACAGGGCTGCTTGCCCCATCCTTATGTCAGGAGGTAAACAGAACATGCGGTGACTATCCCAATCCTCCTTTCCCAATCCTCAGGCTATCCTCTTGACATTATGCCAGAAGGAGGGTGAGGCAGGCAATAGGTGAGAGTGCTCCAGAGGGCTATCAGCTGCCACATCCCTTCCTTAAATTGTCCTCATAGCAGAAGGATGGGGCCACTTGCACCATCCTTATGCTGGGAGGGCGGCGAGACATGCAATTACTGAGAGGGCTCTCAGCTGCTGCGTGCCTTACTCTTCCATTTATGGCATAAGGATGTGGCAGGATGCTGTGTCCTTAGGCCAAGAGGGCAGGGAAATGAGGAGGGCCTGAGGAAAGTGCCCAGGGGGGCGCATCCAGCCCTGGGCCTTAGTTTGCCCATTCCTGGTCAAAGTCTTTTCACAAGCAAAGTGATTTGTGCATTATATCCCACATTCCAAAGTTGTGTTTTTCTCATTTATCCCTTTTAAAATTCATTTTGTTAGCTCTAGCCCAGTTTTTCAACATGTTAAGAACATTTTGAATCTTGATTTTGTCCTCTGGCTTCTTAGTTATTTTGCTGTCATCTGCAAATTGGATAAGCGTGTCCTCTGTTCTGTCATCTAAATTATTTATACAGTTATTGTGTGACAGTGGGCTCTGAGCAGACCCATATTTTTATTCTCTCCTGGATGAATAGGACCCATTGGAAAGTGTTCTTAGGGGTTCTGTGCATCACCCAGTTTAAAATCCACCCAACAATCGTGTTGTCTAATACATGTTTTGCCACCTTTTCTCTAAGAATATCGTGGAGGACTTTGTCAAAAGGAATTCAAAAATTAGAACATGATATATCCATAGCAATCTTCTGATCTACCAAACATATAGTCTATATTTTAAAAATAACATTAATCTAACATAAATTGTTGTTGAAAAATGGGTTTTAATTATCACTGCATTCCTTTCTAAGTGTTCATGGAATGGTTGTTTAATTATCTCTTATCTTCTAGAACCTTTCTTGAAACTGACAACAAGCCAACTAGTTGCTAATTGTTTGGATCTTCTTTTCCCTCCTTGTGCAGAATGAGACAACTTCTGTTGGGTGCCTTTCTCATTTTTTTGGAAAGAAGAGTGAGGAAAATGTTAGATATATCCCTTCTTAGGAAACTGATCTCATTAAAGTCAATTGTAGCTGGTGTCCGACTCTGGGAGCTGGTGCTCATCTCCATTTCTAAGCCGAAGAGCTGGCATTGTCTGTAGACACCTCCAAGGTCATGTGGCCGGCATATCTGCATGAAGTACCATTACCTTCCCACTGGAGTGGTACCTATTGATCTACTCACATTCGCATGTTTTCAAACTGCTAGGTTGGCAGAAGCTGGGGCTAACAGCGGGAGCTCACGCCACTCCACAGATTCGAACTTGTGACCTTTCGCTCAGCAAGTTCAGTAGCTCAGTGCTTTAATCCACTGTGCCACCGGGGGCTCCAATATTTTTGTTTATATTTGTTTATACCCTATTTTTTGTCTCCACAAGAAGATCCAAAGCGGCTAAACATTCTTGTTCTCTCACCTTATTTGTGGTTGCCTTGCTGTTAATTCCTTCCTATCATGCAACTATTGAATGAAGAGAAGGAAGTTATTCCTTTTAATAGTATAATTTGAAAATTCACAATTGCATCTCATCAAATGAAATTAAGCCTTAAGAAGTAATGTATCCATAATTCACAGACTTACCGAACAAATTAAGATTGTAAACTGCTTAGATGGTATTTTACCAAACCTATGGCATGTTCTCTTTGGTATTTCCTGTTATACACATTTGAAACCAACACTAAAATTGCACTGAGACTTCACTGATAGCACAGCAGTGTTTAATCTATGCGTGTGAACTCAACCCCATGCTTACTTCAAGCCAACTAGGCGCTGTAGGAGAAAATTAATCATATTTACATGCCATCATCTATTTGCATATACGTGAATGAACATGTGCACTGTAACACCTTGCAAGAGCATTTGCCGATCCCTTGTTCTCTACCTAATTTCCATTTTTATAAAATAGAAACATTTAAATGAAGTGCTGGAGAACAATTTGAAGAGCTGTGTCTATTTTGAACAGAAATCTGACCTCCCTGCAACACGGACAAGTCAGAATGTTACAATGAAAGTGACACTTCACAAACAACACTTCACAAGGAACTCATGACTCATTGCGTGGTGGGCAAAAGATCACAGGATGTTTTTTGCCCGTCTACTGTCTCTAAAAACCTTAGAAGGTCAGCAGCTTTTGTACCACAAAAATCCTGTGGTAAAAAAACGCAAATGTTCTCACATCCATCTGTTTGTCAACTACAAGACAGCAACCAGATCCTGCTCTTCAAACAAGTGAAATTCCCCTCCTTTAATAAAGCCACACCTACATAACTATAAATGCAACTAAAAGTTACAGTTACACCGCAGAAGTTGTTAAACTATCCCTCATTACCTTACAATTATAATGTAACATTGTTCTACTTTAGTAACTGGAAACAAGTCTGATTTACAAACAACTGGTTATTGTAAATACTTACTTCCAAGGCTCCTTCTACACTGCCCTATATCTCAGGATCTGATCCCAGATTATCTGCTTTAAACTGGAGTAAATGAGTCTCCACCGCCAGATAATCTGAGATAAAGAGATAATCTGGGATCAGATCCTGGGTTATGGGGGCAGTGTGGAAGGGGCCTAAGTTTTGATCTCTCAAAACAATAATAGATGCTAACAATTGGTTTACCGAGGAGCTGGCAGTGATGAAGCGAAGGAAGAGGGAACTAGAGAGCGTGTGGCGTTCGGATCCAAGCGAGTCAAACCGAGCACGGTTTGTGTCCTTTCTTAGGGCATATGCCGCGGCAATAAAGGCCGCAAAGAAAGTTTTCTTTGCGGCCACTATTGCGTCTGCAAAGAACCGTCCGGCGGAGTTGTTTCGGATTGTTAGAGGTCTTTTAACTCCCGCCACCTCTGGCGGGAGCCCTGACAATTCGGTCACGCGCTGTGAAGCATTTGCTCGGTTCTTTGCAGACAAAGTCGCCTTGATCCGTTCTGGGCTGGACGCCGCGTTAAATGCAGTCTCAGAGGATGTAACAAGAGCACCTGCTTGTCCTATTTTGATGGATTCTTTTCAGTTTGTGAAACCCGAGGATGTGGACAAGATACTTGGAGGAATGAGGCCCACCACGTCCATCCTAGACCCCTGCCCATCCTGGCTTCTGAAGGAGGCCAGAGGGGGATTGGCTGAGTGGGTAACGGTGGTGGTTAATGCCTCCCTTAGGGAAGGCAAGATTCCA